ACTACTACTACTACTACTACACCCCCACTACCACCACTAAACCTGGTGCTATTACCCCTACTCCTAGTCAGACTTGCCAAGATGTTGACACAACATAGCGCAGCTTTGCTTCATTGCTGTACTAGAAGCATGTGAACCAGCGGGGATGCTGTAATTGACTTAATTGGCAACGTTTCCATGGCGTTGGAACTTCTGAAGACTCAGAAAGGCTACATTTTTGCAACAAGAATGAAGAGCCGTACGGCATGGTTAGTTGTTTGATGGTTTTTACTTGTTAATGTGGTTGGTGTTGTGCTGGTTTCCAAAGCTCCAACTCAAGCACAGGGTGCTAAAAGCTTGTACATGAGTTCTCTTTCCGGACCGGGCATGTGTGGAATCTGCCTTGGACTCCTCGCAAGTTCCTGCACTGCGTTCATAGCTCTGGGTGTTACCAAAAGCCCTTTCCAAGCCTCGCCGCGCATGGCGGGTCCGGCAAAAGTCACTCACTGGCTTCCGGCCAACGGCCAGTCAGCACAGTCCACGGAAGCAGTTGTGCACTCACGAGGAGATCAAAGACCTAAAAACTGCTGTGTCACAGGATCCATGAGTCCATGTCACTTGACCGAACGGTAAGCCATTTGGTCAGAGGCGGCATGACCCGCCCCGACAAATGATTGTTCGGAAAGGCCGTACGGCAGCGACAACCATGCATTTATCGGCGGCCCTCAAAATCTGCCTTTGCTGTTGCATGCAGACTACAGTCCACAGGCAAATGTGATTCTTCATACGATGAATTCCGGTAACCTCGCCGATAAAGAGTGATCAGACGACCCTCAGCAGCGAGTCGTGCTCTGAGCATGCGACGCGAAGCTGAGCAAATAGACACGGCGACGGTTTAGCTTGCATTAGGTGAGCCACAAACAAAGCTGCGGGGTGACGCCAGTCGGCTGAGGAGAGCCCATGCAGCACAGCTTCAACAAAAATCAAGGGCCAGGTCCGTGGAGACAGACGTAAGACCAATCTACAACAAAGTTTGAGCCAGCGTCGAGACTTGCAAAAAGGAAACCTGCCTGGAGAGTGCAGAGCATGAGCCAGAATGTTAATTTCGGCATCGGAATTCTGAGGGTTTGCTCTCAACGTTGATACGCCTTCATCCAACAGACGAGGTCAACCATCACACCGACACAGATGAGCTCCCAGCAGAACATTTCCATCCGTGACGTGGAGGATTAGGAGGCACAACTTTCTGGACGAGCAGCATGTCATGATGTTTGTCGCACTCGTAAGCTGTCCTGTTCGGCAGGAGACTGACGGAGCCGTTTCACCAGGTGCAGACATGTCCAGAATCTATCGAGAGCCTGCCACAACGAGGTCGTACATGCGCGCAGAGCGTTCAAGACACAGGCCCACACAGGCACAAAGCAGAGTCACACAAGAAAGACTCAGACAAAGTCGCAGCAAGAAAATAATGGGCCTGGTACATCGATCCATGCTTGAAAGATCATGGTTGGGCGACTTGGGGGTTTGGGGCAGTGCAAAGGGCAGCCACGTGAAGCTGAGGTCGCCACTTACCAAGGTCTCTCAGTGCACCACAGGCAAGCTGCACAGAGGCGACGAATTACGCCTCGGCTGTTGGAGCCAAACTCAGATCAATCAGGATGTCAACCGGGGCAACTTTCTGCAGATCCCAACGAGCATCGCAAACGTGAAAGCTCCCGGGTCTCATCTCTTCAGGTGCGTTGCACACACTGCTTGCTCGGTTCATGGCCATCGCTGTCTTTTGCTTCAAGCATGCCTTGATGTGCCTTGACTGTGCAAACGGACACTGACCATGTTGCCTCCTGCTGCGTCCACCCTTTGATTTAAATCCAGGCAGCCATGACATGCAGGCGCACCCCATGTCACGGATATAGCCATACACAAGGAGCTTCCAAGACCTCAGACTTCCACAATGCTACGCTCGGGTCCAGAACCTGAAATCGTCATATATAGTCAAAGGCTTAAAGAACGGGCGTTGCGGGTTATGGTGCGTTTGCTGCAAGCTCCGTTGTTGAGCTTGTCAGCCTTTGGCGCGCCTTGCCATGGATTTGCTGCTTCTTTTGAAGAAGTGATTGAGTTCTAAGGAGCAGTGCTTTACGCGCAAAAGCTTCGGATTGCAGATCAGGTGCAGGCGATTGACAATGGGATAGGACTAACGCCGCCGCGCGGATGGAGGTCATGGAATGCCTTCGACTGCTTGGAGACTCTCGGACTGTCTGGCAAGACATAGGTGCTTGGCTTGCTTCTCTCCTTTGTGTTCCCTCGCAGCTCACCTCCGAGGCCAAAGCGCATCCTGACGCAGGCACACATGCAGGCGCAGATGGAGGCTGTTCTGGACAGATCCCGCCTGGTCGATGGCAAGCAAACGAGCCTGGCCGAGTATGACACTTAGGTTTAGCCTGTCACTGTCGGTGCTATCAGAAGTCTCCGATCAGTCCTGCTTCTCATGTCAGCTACCCTCACGAGGCTGGGCTTCGATTGGATTAGCATGGACGATGGATGGCAGCACTGCAACTGCAGTGTGCGCCAGGACATAGGGCCCATCAGACATCAGAGACACGTGCACTGGCGTGGCCGTCCGCATGAACTGAACTCAGCACTGTGCTGCCAGCTTCAGCACGAGAGGATCTAGATCCAACTTTGCCACAGTGCGACGGCAATCTTTGCTTTGGCGGCCATTGCTCCTGGCACGACGGCAGGACGGAGATGTGAAATGTATCTAGGTCTGGTGTCGGACTCATGGAAACCTGCGCCACGGCCAGGGGAGTGCCCATTGTGCGGAAAGACCGTTTCCCGGACATGCATCTCGAATCAAGCTGGTTGAGTCGTTGAGAGTCTCGGGAGCGGCTGCGGCCGAGGAAGGGGCTGGTGAAATTTGGTCATTCTCGCGGTCTCAAAGTGGGAACATATCTCAACACTTGCATTTGCTCCTCAGTGGCACCTTGCTCTCCGCTCTCCATGTAGGTTCCCGTGTCCGTGTTCCCATTTAGGCAATGAGCATGGGCCGACACATTACGCTCAAGACGTAAGCTGGATGGTGGATCAGATGGACTTCGACGGCGTGTTTCCTTCTTAATCTTCTTCATCTGAACTATGTTTACTTGTTGGCCTGTCGCATGCGCGACTTGCTTCAGATTGCACTGTCAGGAAAATCGATAGCTGCGGCAGCTCTCAGAATGTTTCGCACTGGGCAGAGCTGTTCAATCTCACCGGAAAGGCCATACGCTACTTTCCTGCAACATACCACAAGTCCACAAGTCTTTCTAATTCAGGTGAGGGGCCTCTAACCGCAGCATGGCGAGGCATTGAAAATTGCCACAACTCTTGGCCAGACTTTCGAACTGGCTTCTGTCCCATGAACTTCTTCCGCACAGGAGCTAACAATCTCGGAGTTGAAATGTCCAGCGGCTGCAAACCAATGTCTTGTGAGCTTCCGTGCCAGGAGGTGATATTAGTCCCAGCATCAGCTCCATTGTGGAGGAAGCATATGCTACTCGGCCTCATTGTGAAGCCCGCTTCAGCACAGACTGTTTCAGCGCTTCTGCAGTCGAGTCAAATTTGCCGCCTTTCAGGCTACGGTTAATGCCGCCGACTTACCCGAGCCACGTTCGCGGCCAGGTTGCTGGGCGTATCCCGACATGAGTGAGGCCGCAGCCGTGTAAGGGCAAGCATCTTTTGGCGCTGCAAGTCTTTCTGTTTGTGGAATGCCCACCTGCCATAAGTGTTGACTTCTTGCCCAACGTAGCGGTCACATTAGCGAGGCGGCTTCCATTGGACCCCAGTCCGGCACCTTGCAGGTGGGCAACTTTCCACAAGGACCACACCAGCAAGACCAAGAGCGAACACATTGGGGGCGGCTAGGTTTCATACGAATGCGACTTCAGGAATGTACGGTGTCGGACATGTCGGGTGACGCAGCATGCCCGATCTTATCGCTTGCGCATCTACTGGAGGCTCTGGTGCATCGTGTCGTCACCGTTGATTCTGGGTTTCGTGCGCGCCCAAGTGGATTGGCCCAAGAATGGTGCGGGGAGGCCGGGAGGGGGGCCGGCAGCGCTTCCTCGATAAGCTTGAGAGGATCTGCAAGATGGAGCCAAGCTGGACAGCCGGCTTGGTTTCTGCCGCAGCTTCATGCACTGATGCACCTGTCCGTGTCGAAAAGCAAGCTGCCGTTTGCTGTGGCCCCAGGACAGAGTCTGGCACATCATCACGAACACAGATGCGCTTGCGATTTCAGCTTCATGGCACGGACACCCCGGCACTCTGCCACTTGGAACTGGTTCGGAAGCTTTGTCTTAGCTGCGAGCCACGATAAAATCGGCCACACGGTGCATCCCATAATGCTTGCATTTTTTTATGGTTTTGCATGCAACTATATGTTTGCACTTAGTCCATGCACTTTACTTTTCGGGAGAGCGACTCTGGCTTTGCGTCTGGTTGGATGTTTGGTGATGTCGTGGCTTCCGGCTAATTTCTGTCCGTGGTCCGGTGGTACTCGTGGTGATAGTGGCTTCGATGGTGGTGCTGGTGCTGCTGCTGCTGCTGCTACTGCTGCTGGTGCTGCTGCTGCTGCTGCTGCTGCTGCCGCTGGTGCTGGTGCTATATTGCTCGGGGCGGGCAGAAGGTGCACGGTACTAGTCGCAGGCGAGTGTTGCTGATGTTGTTGTTGCTGCTGCTGCCGCTGCCGCTGCCGCTCTTGCTGTCCTTGTGGCTGCGGCAGCTGCTGCTGCTGCTGGTGTTGGTGTTAGCACTGCCTGACTGACGCAGAGCAATTTGTTTTTTTTCGGCGGCTGCTTTGGGCTCAGGGCTCTTGTTGACTTTGGATTGTTGCCCAGCGTGCCCAGTGCTGCCGGATGCATTCACCGAACATCGCAGGGCGATTCCGGCCGAAGCCAAGTGCCCCAAGTGCCTGCAGCATAAATTTTGGAAGACCACAAGCACACAGCAACAGCAGCAACCCATAGTATTTCCGGCAATGCTCCACACATCTCCACACCAAAAGCTTACAATCAACCACAAGCCTTGTTGTACCGTTTAAACCATGCAGAGTTCCCTCCTCAGGCTTTGAGGCGGCATTTGCGCTGCTTGCGGTGTTGTTGCCTTGCCGTTGCATGCACAGCACGACACCGGTTGTGGTGAAAAGCTGATGTGGCCTGAGCTCCAACAGGCAGCCCGACGAGTCCGTCAAAAAAACGACTCCTTAGTTCAAACCTTGGCTTCGGGATCTTGGCATGGGACTGCGAACCTGCGTGACTGCATTTCTGGTTACAGCTAGTTGTAGTTCATTATGATAGGCCAACACAACATGCCGAGTTCTCTGGACTCCGTAACTCTAGTGACACCGATGCGCAGAACGAGGATCAAAGCCTATCCATCTTCATCTTCGAGGATGCAAGCCGTCTTGGACGACTGTGATGGGAGTCCGTCCACCGTGGGATGGCAGCTCAACCAAGGCCTTGCGTAGGCTTGTACGCTTTGTTACATGCGTTCGACAAGGAGCAGAAGCAAAACTGTTTATCACCTTCGCTGGGCTCAGGTCGCTTGGTTGCTCCGAAGGCTCTTCTGGAAGGGGCATTGTGCCTCCGCTCAGAGAGTGGTGGCCCGTGCCCTCCGCCAACAACTTTCTCAAACGAGACACGCTGCGGCTTGGCCTTGGGCAACTGCAGTGCCTTGAATTCAAGAAGCAAAGAAGGCACAAGCCCCTGTTGTTCATCATTACTAAGGAAGGAGCCTAGGACTCTAAGAGGCCTTTGCATCGAATTTCGTTCCTGTTTTTCGAACGGAAGAAACGGCTAAGAGTGGGTCCGGCGGGAAAAGTCGTCGGAGCGAAGCGAAGGGGATTGAGACCCCAACTTTTCTCTTTCCCGCTTGGTCTGAGGTGAGCTACCTCCGGCAAGTCAGTGGAGGGCTGTGCAGAACACGATCCAGTGGTGGGACGGGCACAAAACCACTACAAAGCCGCGGTGCTTGCACCTGGGCAGCATTTTTCCATCTGAACTTGCATATTTTCCAGTCAGCACGGGGACTTAGATTTATCTCGGAGCACTAACAAGGAGTACTATGTACGAGGAACAAGCATTCAATGGCGCCAGTGAATTCTTGTGAAAGAACTGTGCTGTTGAGCGTAGTACATGCGTGGAGCGTTGCCGACCCCGATGCGAGAAACGTGCATGCAACAAACGTTCTGAACAAAA